TGAACTGTAACATTTTGGACACATCACAAATATCATTAATAAACAAATTAAAGAGCTTAGGTCCCAACACAGAACCCTGTGGGACTCCAGTAATAATTTGAGAATCTGAAATTTCATCTTCTAATTGTACAAATTGATTTCTTTTAGTCAGATAACTACTTAACCAATCATGAGCTGTCCCTCTTATCCCGTAATCCTTTAACTCAGAAAGTAACGACTGTGGTCTCTGGCATCAAACGCTTTTCTTAAATCAATAAACAGACCCGCTGTGTGTTGCTTCCTTTCTACTGCTGCTGTAATTTCTTCATTTAATTCTAGTAATGACAAGGATGTATTTTATTTGATCAAATCCATACTGATTGTCACTCAGCAGTTTATTGTTTTGAATAAAGTTGTCTAGTTTCTGAATGAACCATGTTTCAAGTGACGAGATCTTTGATGCGTTGTGTTTGTGCATGAACAAAAACCTCACAGCAGCATGACGTTGCCATGGAGGATCATTTTCTAATGCCCCTTCTTCTAATTGCTTTTATTGGACTCCTGCAGGTTTCTGAGAGTCTCTGGATGCTGAGACGTCTCGGCCTGGGAGATGACATGTCAGTCTGAATCCATCCTAGTGACAGACTGAAGTGCTTAATGTCTGACATTTCATCATGTAAATAAAGCCACCCCCACGCAGGCCTTACATCCATCTGAGCAACGTGCCACAACTCCCTCCATGAGAATTCCCTTCACCTGGAACCTCCCTCCTCTGCAGTTCCCTGAGGCTTGGAGCAGGAATCTGTGTGATCCTTCTGGTCTGCAGAAACGTTCTTTTTGTGTTTAGCGGAGAAATATTTTATAAACACCATAGTTATGTTTACCTTAAAGGAGACAGATCATGCTAAAGTCTCCTTTAACGTCCGTCCGTGCTGACATGTGGGTCTCTACAAACCCCTTGACACGTGATGTCACGTGCTCCCGCCCCCTAGCTTAGGGCGGGAGGGCAGGAAGACGGCACACCCCTGTTGACCGCTGTTGTCATTAGCTATCAGTTGTCAGTAAATTGAGCTAAATCACTACCAGCATGGTTAACACACCTAGAGCTGTAGGCTGCACAAGTAGACAAAAGAAGGACAGAAAACGTAGCATTTTACAGATTTCCAGGTGATAAAATTCGCTGAAGGCAGCGGGTAACAGCAATAAGGAGAATTAGTGAATAAACAACAACGTAGCAGAGAAAGTCTCATTACAATATAAAAGTTAAATATCTACCCCACACGTCCAGACACCAACAAGTTGTAGCCGTGTAATGACTTATATGCTTTTTATATATAATCACACGCAGCTGCAGGGCACGAGTAGCCGGGGGGGGGGGGGGGGGGGGGGCGGATCAGTCCTGAAAAATAAATGTGTGTAAAGATGACGACGCTGGTGTGGGTGTAGCTGTGTGTGACCCGGGGTGACGAGGCGGAGCGAGGAGACATCAACATCTTAAAGCTCTGCTGACTGACTGGAGAAGAGAGAAAACGAGGTCTGTTGGAGACTTGATGCTAGTTAGTGAATTACGTCTGGATGCTGGGTTTCTGACAGTAAATGGATTCATCTGGACATAATGATTTGATCTGGTGCACACACAAATCAAAGATGTGAGCTGGCTTAGGAGCTCAGTGATCTTCAGAAAGACGTGATGGTGAATTCAAACATCAGGTCTAAACGAGGATGGACTTTGTGCACCGGTTGTTTTATCGTTGTGTCCTGAACCGCTTGATCACTGAGCACCTGCTCCTACCTGCTGTTAATCTGGATTAAATGTTTGTTTCATGTTTCGCTGCTTCGTTACATTTACAGGAAATTATTTTGTTTGTTTGTTTCCTCGCCAGTTGTTATTTGTCTGTTATTTTAACGTTGACTAATAGTTAGAGTGAACATGTCCGCATTTGCTGCAGGGACTTTTGTCTCATCTCAGACCTTTAAACCTTCGTAGGGTTACACGTGGATTTAAATGGCATCTTTTAAGGTGGAAATGTGAAATAATCACCACAGGTGTGTCAGGTTAACAAAGATCTAAATATTATACAGTTGCTTCTGCCAGACTCGTGAAAATGTACTAAAACTTGTCATTTAGAAGCTTTTCATCAGACTCTTCATTTCTTGTGATTCCTGTAAGTTTTATCAGGACCATGTGAGTAAAACCAGCGTCCACCGTCAGAAACAACGTGAAGAGGTGGCTAGTGGCTTTTCCACATCAGCCACAAGGCTGCCAGCAACACGCGTGGCTTTTCAGGTCTTTTACCGGCCTCCTGAAACGTTTACTCATGCCAGCGGTCCCACAGTTAATCAGCTTTTGCCTCGATTGTTGAGCTGATTGAGTCTACGGCACAAAAACGTCTTCAGGTCATCCCACAGGGCAGCGCAGTCCACCTACACACCTCAACACAAGTTCTCAGCTGCTCTCGAGTCAAATGATGCCCAGAGGAACAAAAGGCTGGCGAGGGACGCCAAAGAAGACCCGGAAATGGATGAAAAGTATAGATGAGAGGTTTTAGAGAAGGTCAGAGACTGATGGTGGACACCAACCTGGGTCAGGAGCACATCAGCCGCCACAGCGTGTGTGTGTGTGTGTGCGTGTGTGTGTGTGTGTGCGTGTGCGTGTGTGTGTGCGTGTGCGTGTGCGTGTGTGTGTGTGTGTGTGTGTGTGTGTGTGTGTGTGTGTGTGTGTGTGTGTGTGTGTGTGTGTGTGTGTGTGTGTGTGTGTGGTTCCGAGCTGATCTCTGTTCATGGATGAGAACTTAAACACCGGGACGGGAGAACGTGTCGGCGGTACGGTGCGATGTAGCGTTCACGTCTCTGGTTCCTCTCTGAGACGTGGCTTCATTCACACGGCAGCTCGGATTGTGAGGAGTTATCAGGCGTGTTTGCTGATTACAGCAGCGATGCCACAATTCTCCCCCTTTTACATCTCCAAGTGAGTCAATTGAAGAAATGGGAGCACTTTAGTGTATTCTCACATCTTTAGATCAAACCAAGAGCCTCAGCAGAAGCGTTGTTTTTAAAGCAGGCAGAGAGGGATGATTAATCCACTCAAGAGAAAATCTTGGAACGGTTTATTGACATTCCGGGTTGTTCGCCCAGCATTAAGATGGTTTCTGTGATAAACCACTTGTCTTCCATGGGGTGGGGGGGTAAAGGTCACAATCATCACCCTAAATCAAAACTCGGGCCTTATTGTTTTAGATCATTTTAATATTCTAACAGATTATGATTTACGGCTTCCATCCATTACAAAAGGTGTTCCACAGGGCTGTGGCTCTTCTTGTTGTCCGCACTAATGCTGCTGTGTTGGTCCAGTTGAACTGGTTAGCTGCTGAAGCGTTGCTGTGAACTAGATGTTTAAAAACACATCATGTCCTCCCGAGCCAGACCTCAACACGTTAGCATGTTCAGCTAAAATCGTAACAACATCTGGGCATCTTGAATCCGTTAAAAGTAAACTCCCAGTGAGTGTAATCCGTGTGAAGGAAACCAAATCGGTTTTCTCAGCTCTGCAAGGACGCGTGCGTCCATGAAGAAGTATTCCAGCTGATCCAGAATCTGCTGGTGACAACTACAGCATTCCTGAAGGAATTCCCCTAACATCCAGGAATGCTCCAGATCTCTTCAGTTTGTGTAACCTGGTGGATGTGATGGATTTTTTCCTCCAAATACTCCAGATTTCTGGAACTCTTCTGAATTTTCCTACATCAGGAACAATCTAGTTGCCAGTTTGGAAGCGAAACAACCACAGGACATGTGACCCTGACCCGGAACGGAGAAACAACGTTTAACATGTTTTCCCATGAGTCCATGCAGCAAACACGCTGAAAACTCTCACTGAAAATGTGTTTCTTGTGTATTCATGTACTGATTTCATGTTTTCATGTTTTCATGTGTGATTTCCATGTGAAGTTCATGTGTTCATAAAACATCTGACAAACCAGTCAGGCCACACTTCCTTCTTACAGGAAATAAGATTTCAGCTCTTCCTGTTTTGTTCCCCGTGTTCCTAAATAGCCTGTTATGGTTGGTAGACGTGGAAGTCTGTGCTTTAAATTGGAACTACTTGGATTTAACGGTGATTTATGGGAATGTTGAATGTTGTGAGTAAATAAAGGTAAGGATTGACCTCGCTGAAGAAAAAGCCTGTTTATGTCCTCTAATGTGTTTTTATTTATTTATTTTTGAAGACGCATGAGGGACATCCTGTACAGCAGGTAGGGGACGTGTCCCTGTGGGACAGTGGGACACGCAGCAGCAAGGCCTGCAGGAGAAATGACCCAGTCTCAGAATCTATATAAACAAATAAACAGTCCCCATCAGCCGGATGCTGGCTGTATTTACACCGATTTGACTAAATGGAACGTCGTATTTGTATTTATTATTCTGTGTTTGAGTATCCTCCATGTTGAACCTGTCTGTGTGACAAGTTTCAAGTTTTAGGAGAACGGGACGCAGGAACGTTGTCAGATCCTGTTTTCCCCTTCCTTTTCTTCCAACTTTCACAGAGATCAGCTGACCTGAGCTCTGCTCCCGCTGGTCTCCGACACACCTGGGGGGGGGGGGGGGGGGGGGATCTTCCCACCTCACTGAAAACCTGCTGCAATATAACAAGGGATGGGGATCATGGTTCGAAAGCAGCCTCACCTCTCCCACAACCTGCAGAGCGACTGGAAACACACACACACACACACACACACACACACACACACACACACACACACACACACACACACACACACACACACACTGCTACAGGAAGCCTGTACCACCGAAGCTCAGCTATTCAAACCCGACACAAGGAACCAGAACCAGCTTCTGATGTTCTCTGAGAACCTGAAGAATCTCTGCTGAACTCCCTTTCATGCACACGCGCGCGTGCACACACACACACACACACACCAGCGCAGGTTAGTCTCCCCTCAGCGTGGCCAGCTGGAGCGCGCCCGCCCCGCTGCGCACCGGAAGATAGCAGGGTGACTTACGCTGCTGTTCTGGCCGGACCAGTGCACCATGGCCTGGTTGTGGGACGAGTCTCCGGTCAGGGCGAAGGTCGAGCTGTTGAGTTTGGGTTCGTCCTGCCTCATGCCGCTGCCTCTGCGCTCTTCTCCGCTCCAGCGCAGGTCGGACGAGCGCGGGACTCTGCGCCCCGCCACACCGGGGAATCGGACTTCGTCACCGTCGCTGTCCTTACTCGGGCCCTGAGTCCCTGCAGCATTCCTGGCCGTGAACTGGGAACTTGTTTTGACCCGAGCAACTTTCCTCTCCTCGCCGTCTCCACCTGGCGCGCGCAGGTTATCGGTACTCCGAGGCTTTCGCGCGTAGTCCGGCCGATCCAGAGCGCATTCGGCGGAACCAGCGGCGCAGGGGAGCTGCCGCCTCATTCCCGTCCAGACCCCGTTCCCCCAAACTTGTCCCTGTAGCCCCGGTACCGGTCCACTCAAGCTAAATGTCAGCGGTAGTTCCTGTCCGCGCCACTTGTTTCCAGGCTGGCATGACCTGCAAGTTATGCCAGCCTCAGCAGGGCGGAAGACGCAGGGTGCCGCGAGCACCAGGACCCAAAGCGCGCGGTGCCACTTTGGGTAGAACCCGACCTCCCGCTCCATCTCTGGACGCTCCGGAAGCTGGAAGTCCGTTTTCCCGGTTCCTCCCGGTCACTCGGGATGAGAGTCAGCGCTCTGAGCTGGAAAAGGAGCTGCTGGTGGAGGCGCTGCCTGAATGCTGTAGCAAAAAGTGCTGCTGAGCCGGAGTGGTCCAAGTTGAAGGATTTGATGGAATGATGCCCGCGTGCACGCACGCACGCACACACACACGCACACACGCGCACGTCCAGGGGAGGAGCTGAGCATCCAGACTGGGAACAATTCTCTCTCTCTCTCTCTCTCTCTCTCTCTCTCTCTCTCTCTCTCTCTCTCTCTCTCTCTCTCTCTCTCTCTCTCTCTCTCTCTCTCTCTATCTCTCTCTCTCTCTCTCTATCTCTCTCTCTCTCTCTCTCTCTCTCTCTCTCTCTCTCTCTCTCTCTCTCTCTCTCTCTCATCTTTTATTTCCTCACAGATATTTCAGAGAAGCTTTTAAGATCTATTTATTTCTCTCCCTGCAGTTTTTATCCTCCAGCCTCATTTAATCCGTGAGATTATTTTACCTGGCTGGATTCAGACGTGAAGGTCCCAACAGGAGCCTCAGATTGTGGCTCAGATGAATCACAGCAGAGTTCCTCTGAACAGCTGATGTTCCGACCCCCACAGCAGATCTTTGATGGCTTGCTTCAGTCAGGATGACAGAGATGAGTTCAGACAAATGTTCCAGAGAGTGGGAAGAAGAAAGGCTCGTGTCTGTGATGGTGCTCCTGCAGCTCAGCAGGTCTAATCACCGGAGGTTACAGTGAATTTTGATGAGCATCTATTAGTCGAACGGGTCTGCTGCAACAGCTGCTCCTTTCACAGCCATGAGGGAGTCAAACGGGCCGGCTGGGCCTGACTCGGTTTACCTCTAAACATCCTCCAGGCTGCAACACATTAGGAACCAAGATTATAAAAACTGAGCAGCACAGAGATGTTTACTACCCATAAGAGCTGCATGACCCTGTAAGAGTTCATCCATCTGATCCAAGTGTTTACCCGGCGAGCAGGTCATTCTGTCCATGAATGAGAACCACAAACTTGGTTAAACAGCTTTTCTGGCTGCCTACTGAAGGTGGAAGAACGTCCCACAGACTTTGTAGTGACCATCAGGAGCCACATCTGGAACCTCTGCAGCTTCTCCCAGGCTGATGGTCGGGATGTTAGGAGGAGTTTGACCATGAAGGACTAAAGGTTCGGTTCTAAATTATTGGTTATTTCTCTTCAGCAGAGACTTTCAGCCAAAAACAGACATGTTTGCTGTTAGCTTGTGGGAGAAAATGTTCTTGTACAAAGCATGGCAACGTCACACATGCACGAGCAGAACAAGCTTACTCCATGCATGCCTGGGAAGAACATGCATGTATGCAGAACGGCCACAGCCAGAACATGAACCTACCTCCTCACACCAACTCACATAAAGTCCTGTTCAGACTTGAAAGCGTCCATCAGGATTAGGACCTTCATCAGAAACCTGCCGTGTCCAGTCCTGTTCATGTCTGCTGCCCCTGGTGGAGGGTCTGCAGGTAAGGCCAGGTGTATTTATTTATTTATTTATCACTGTTGTTTTTATAGGATTAGCTAATCAGAGAAGACTGATTATAACATTTATTTTATCAACTCTGGCAAATGAAATCAGAATTTTAACATTTTTATTACAACAAATGACTCCGAACGCTTTAGGACGTAAAGTCAGCATGGACACAGAACTTGTTGTTTTAAGAGCTTTGAAGGGAATTTTTATGCTATTTGGAAACATAAATAACATCATCTTGTTGGTTGTAAACGTCTGTGTGGTAGAAATCTTACAACAATGCTTTTGGCCTCAACGGCCTGGATGAAGATACCTTTCACCTGCTGATGCTGACTTTTACTCTCGTAAAAACACAGGTTTTCATGTAACTGATGTAGATTTTTACGACGTGCTGAAACATGCCTTTGAGTCGGATGTTCTGTTGCACTCTTTGATTTTCTTTCTCTCGGTCAGTTTGAGAACGGACCTCTGGGATGAAACGGCCCATTGATAGTAAATACAGAGAGATCACATCTCTTTTTGTTTTAGCTCTGATTTATCATCTGTGTGTGTGTGTGTGTGTGTGTGTGTGTGTGTGTGTGTGTGTGTGTGTGAGTGCGTGTGTGTGTGTGTGTGTGTGTGTGCGCGCGCCCACGCATGTGTGCTTCATATATTAACCATTTCACACCGTGTCATCTCCTGTGCCCGTCTGGACTCGCCATCCATTCACACAGAATCGATGCCCTGCCAATAGTAGAAATGGATTTCTGAGGATGTTGGAGAAGGCAATATGCAGACCGGAGCTGTGTGTGTGTGTGTGTGTGTGTGTGTGTGTGTGTGTGTGTGTGTGTGTGTGTGTGTGTGTGTGTGTGTGTGTGTGTGTGTGTGTGTGTGTGTGTGTCTGTGTGTGTGTGTGTCTGTGTGTGTGTGTGTGTGTGTGTGTGTGTGTGTGTGTGTGTATGTGTGTGTGTGTGTGTGTGTGTGTGTGTGTGTGTGTATGTGTGTGTGTGTGTGTGTGTGTGTGTGTGTGTGTGTGTGTGTGTGTGTGTGTGTGTGTGTGTGTGAGTGGTTTTCCTATGAATACACAACAAGGTAAAGCTTCAAGGATGGAGGAAATGTTCTTCTGGAACAAAAAATAGGCATTTTAACTGTTTTACTTCTGAACAGGGCTCCTGTTATGTTATAATCCTTAAATAGTTCAACCTTTTGGAGTTTTCATGCACAAGCTAAAGTGCTCTTAGTAAGTCAGGACAGAGCAGCGATGGTCGAGCCCATGAGCAGTAGAAGATTTTCAAACAAACCAAAGATCGAAACGATGAAACTATTTAAAGAGAAAACACAGAAGTATAGATTGAGAGTAAATGAATCTCTTTAATATTCTCTGTGTCCGACTCCAGTGGAGAGTTACTTGAGATAAAACTGGATCCTCGGTAACATGCACCTTATTGGTATTCATAAACATCAGAGAGCAGAGACGGGGTCAGGAGCAATCAGTCTGCCGTGGGCTCATGGAGAGGGGTGCAACTTCTGAGCAGAGCAGCTATCCATTTCCAACACATTTTGGCATGTTTATGTCTCAGCCGTTCATTAATTACAAAACTGTCCATCCATAAAAAGCAAATGTCAATAAATAGTTTCTGGAACATCAAACACATCATAAATCACAGCCATTTACCCACAATCACCGTATTGTTGAATATCGGCAGCTTGGGTTGTCTAATGTACCTAAAGTCTGTTCCATCTCTGACCTGGCTTCCTGTGTAATTTAATGTTGCAGAGGCTGCTGAGAAACAGGAAGTAGTGAGGAAAAGGTGGATTCATATGTAAACAAGAAGCACCTCCTCACATTTGCTAGTTAGCTAATCCCCATCTTCACTGTCATAATCATAATCAGCCATTTTGTTCTGTCTGGATTTGGAAAAATCACAGGAGAACGGATCCCGTTCAGCCGGTTCCTTATTTACAAAAGGTGTTCCACAAGGCTCAGTACGTGGCCCAGCCGTGTTTCAGCGTCATGAATGAGAGAGTCGTTTCCAGAGTTTCAAACACCAGGAGTTAGCTACCACTTTCTTTCTGATCGGACTAGACATGACCATTAGTTTGGTCAGATGACGACTTCCTGTTGACTCCTCCTGCTTCGTGTGATGTCACCAGCAGGGATGCTCCTCACCACGGGAAAAGAACTGATGGGAAATGGTAAAATGTGACAAAGAGACAAGCTGATCTTGAGCTCAGATAAGTCTATTTGATTTATTTAGATGTTTGATCAATTGATGCTTTCCTCCAAATAACCAAACGGGTCGACGAGCCAACTGTCGTGGCCCTTTGAAAGTGTGATTGTCGGGGCACAACAGAGGGAAAAGGAAGGTTTTCTGTGTCTACTGAAGGAGGCCTTTCAGCACACACTGACTTCATTCATACTGTTTGGGAAATGTGCATATTTCCCTCACAAAGGCAGCTCTCACTACTAGCTTTCAGATTCTTCTGCCTGCCCTGAAATCTCCTCCACTTTAACATCCTGCACGAGTGAAATGCCTCTTCCATAAAGGGCTTGGGATTGAACACATAATCAGCTGTGCCTCCGACATTCAGAGCAGAGACTGAATCCACCTGCTGTGTATTCACTCGGTTTTTTCTGCCAGATAAGCCATTAGTTTCCATTCATCGGGCTGAAGAATAGAAGCAGAGCGGAATGCGTTTGCCGGGACCGTCGTCGCGGGTTCCCGCTAACATTCCAAGGTCTCGGATCAGCAGCAGTCACAAAAAGAAGAGGAATGAGAAAAGTTTGAAAAGCCAGGTGAAAACGGAGGACAAGACGAGCTCGATTCCATCCCAGGGCCCAAAGGAGCGACTGCTTTAAAAGCTTTCCCTCTGAGACTGAAATATTAATATTTGCTGCTCAGGAACATCAGCATTATCCTCAGAGTGAAGCAATGATAATTATTAATGAATCTCATCTTCTGGCCACTGTGCTGGATGTTCGGAGTGCCTGTGACCTTCAGGAGGAGTGCAGCGCCGCGTTCTATGTGGAGTTCTGGACGAGAAACCAAAACGCTGCTGCCATTCGCCCATCGCAGTTCATCTGGCTGATGTGTGTACCTCGGTGGGTGTGAGCGTATGACTAATTCATGACCGTGTGGGAAACCGTGCCACTCCTGAGGACGTGGTACTTTCAGATATCTGATCAAGCTTTTGACTCACTGCTGCTTCAGGCAAGGGCATCGTTTGCAACATCCAGCTTCACGGCTCACAGAAACAGCCTTTGCCTAAAACACGAGACAACAAACAAAGTCAACAATCTTACGAAGGTTTTAGATCACTCCGTCTCTGCTGAACCACCAGAAGTGACAGCGTTTCAAACTGATGCAACTATGCTGATGTCTAAACTTCTGTCATTTCCATCCATCCATCCGTTTTGTTCCGCTTATCCGGAGTCGGGTCACAGGGCAGCAGCCTAAGGCGAGAGGCCCAGACTTCCCTCTCCCCAGCCACTTGGGCCAGCTCCTCCGGGGGAATCCCAAGGCGTTCCCTGGCCAGGTGAGAGACATAGTCCCTCCACCGTGTCCTGGGTCTACCTTTAGGTCTCCTCCCGGTTGGACGTGCCCGAAAAACCTCACCAGGGAGGCGTCCAGGAGGCATCCTGACCAGATGCCCGAGCCACCTCAACTGGCTCGTCTCGACGTGGAGGAGCAGCGGGTCTACTCCAAGCCCCTCCCGGATGACC